CACCTGAGTGTTTCCTGGCTGCAACCCTCAAATGCCACGCCACCGGTAAGTACCGGCCCTACTGGTCCTGCCCCCACATCCACGACCCCGACGGGGCCACACACACACTCACACAGGTCAGCCAGCATTCAGACAGACATGCAGTCCAGCACACACACACACAAGCAGACTTAGCAGGCGGGGGAACTTAGTATGGCATGCATTCCACGGCAAGACTCAGAAATCGGCTGTCTGTTTCAGTCCGTGTGATGACAGGTCATAACAGTGCTCTTATTTGGCGAAACTCGTGATGCAATTCTGCTATTGGTTCGAGGTCACGATTATCTGGTCACATGTGTATGATGCTGTTTAAATTCTGGAGTTCACTATTGATCATTTTCCTTGCACAAATGTAATTCAGAGTTATTTTATTCATCTGATTCCATCAGGATTTGAGCTTTGGGTCTGCTTACGAGGGTAGCGTTCAAAGTTCAAACATGGGCTGATTATAGTTGTTATTTTATGATGATGATCATGATAATGACAACAATGGATTTGTGTCAAATGTGGTGTTTTTACACTTCTTTGTTATACTTTGTGTTTACTGTGATATGTAAAGCCTCGTGCGGAGTATCTTTTATGGTGCTGTCAACTCAATTGAACTGGCAGTCTAACACTTTTTTTGTTTTGTTTTTTTGTTTTCTTTACCAGAAGACACCCAAGGTAGTGCTAGGGGTGTTGATAAAAGCAGGCACCACTAGCATTCCTGGGGGGACTCCATCTATTGGTGGGGAGCATAACCTGCTGGAAGTCGGGTCCAGCGTCCCTGTGCATTATAGTTGATTGTTTGAACAGACACTTAACTGAAATGGCAAGAAGTCTAACACTTTCTTTTTTTTTTTCTTCAATTTGGACCATTTCTCGATTTATGCGTGTCATCCTTGCGCAGGGGCCATGCTAATCTTTTCTGTATCGTTCAAATTTTAACGGATGTCCCGAAGGACAATCTAACACAAATTTCTGATGTCATCCACATTGGGAAATGACCAGGACTTTCATAGGCGATTTTATCATCCATCGAACATCTTCATCTCAATGTACGGTGACGATGACGCGGTTGAGAGGTTGCGCTTCTTGAGCGGTACGCACCCACATTCATACTGTTTTTTTTGTGAATTGCTCATTATGGCTGATTGTTGGACAATTTAACTGTGTTACGATCCTGGCCAATTTCGAAGCACAAATTCACTAGAAAGCACAATGTCATTCAATTGCAAAAAGAAATGAATGAACTTGAGAGGAGAGAGAGGGAAAGAAGAAGAAGCAGAAGAAGAAAGAAAGAAGAAGAAGAAGAAGATGTACACCAGCAAAGACCAATGATAACCCCCCTTCTTCTCGCCAACCAAACTCCTCCTTTTCTCCTCCCCTCTTACTCAAACAATAAATAATAATAATAATAATAATAATAATAATAATAATAATAATAATAATAATAATAATAATGATGATGAATGGCAGAACCAGAATCAGTGTCCGAATCCCTCTTCTACTGCCAGCACAACTTGAGGTCCACCATAGCCATGGCCGCCCTTCTCCTTCGTCTTCATAGGCCGAGGCTATGGCGGAGTACTAGAGCCCTGCCCTGACGTGCAAAAGGCAACGCAAAGCACCTATGGCTGCTTCCACTCAGGCCGCCATGCCTGACTGTGCCTCGAAGCTTCTTGGTGTAACTCTACCCCAACGGGGCCTTCCAGATGCAGCGCCCACGAAGGTGATGAAAATGTTGTCCACCATAGCCAGGTAAGTACCCCTGGCGCTCCCCTCTCCTAGTCCCTTCTTCCTCCTCCTCCTAGCCGAGCTCCTCGACCATATCCAGTCTGGAGAGCTGGGCACCCTCCTTCCCCACAGCGCTGCACACTAGCGCTGCACCTCCAGTGCTCCAGCAGCGTGATGTCCAAACTTGCACGCAGCAAATGAGGCTGAGCCTTTTGGTCAGCCTGGAGATATAACGTCCAACTTGCCTCTTGGGCGGTGACTTCCAGGCCGCGTGGTCTCCAGGCAACCGGTACCTCTTCCCTTTTGGAGCGAAACATCATTGCAGCCTCTGATATTGCCCACTCAGGCCCTAGACTCAGACTACTTGGACTGGTACCCCCCTAGACCTAGCCTACAACTACCGGGCCTCTAAAAATGCCAACTTTTGTCTTCTTCTGCTCGGCCTCCAGTCCCCAACACATCTACAGCTACTTGAGTGGTACCAGCTTATCTGCTACTTGAGTGTTTTTCCCGCTGCTCGAAGTGTCGCGGGCCTCCTCCCGCTACTCCCCGCTGCAACCGTCAATGTCACAGTCACAGGTAAGTACCGGCCCGACGGGGCCTCCCAAGAAAGTAAGTACCCTTGCGGGTCACACACACACTCAAGCCGTCAAGCATTCAGACAGGCATGCAGACCGGCAAGCACACACACACGCAGACTTAGAAAACTCAGCAGAAAGAGGGAATCTCAGCAAGGCATTCATTCCAGAGGCAAAACTCAGAAATCAGCTGTGTTCTCAGTCCGTATTCGGGCAGGTCCTTACGGAGAAACTTTAATGATGCTTATTTTCAATATTTTGCTAAATATTTTTCATAATAATATTGATATAATGATAAGTAAATACCTTATCCTCACCGTGTTAAACACTCATGAAAAGCTTTCACTGCTGCACTGGTTATCACGAGGCCTTTTTTTTTTTTTTTTTTTTTTTTAACCGGGCCCAGTGCCCAAGGCTGATATTACCAATAAGAAGATTGAGGCCGGGGTCCTCACAGTCTACCCGGAGTGACCGAACCGAACATGCCGAGAACCGGGCTCAGCGTCCCTCCTATGATGATGATTGTAATGCTGATGCTGATGATGATGATGATGATGATAAACTTCTGCTGATTCTATGAAAACTATGTGATAATGATACTAATGATGATGATGCTAAAGATGATGGAGATTAGTAAATCAGCTGATGATGACAAAGATGATGAGTACATCCGCCACTCGCAGCCTCACAATCAATTAGCAACTCATAGCTTTCCCCTAAAACAGACTCAGCACTCCAAAGATCAAATCAACCTGCCCAATACCTGCCATCGCTGTCATGTTCTCACTACCAAAACTATACCCGGCCTCAAAGGTTGTACCTCCTAGTTCACCACTGGATTGCTTTCCTCCCTCGACAAATCTCCAGATCTCTCTACCAGGCCTCACGCTCCTGCTACAAAACAGGTCACAGGGCAAACACCCCAGCACCGGCCACCGTCGTTCTGGCATCGGCAAACCAAGAGCTAGAACACTACTCCTTTGCAAACACCAGCCAGGATTCAGCTATCCCTGAAGTCCTGTTATCCACAAAAAGAAACCAAATGTCACCCAGGGAGTGTCACAGCCAACCAAGGTGGACATAGCCTAATTAGGCTAATTAGGGATGTACTACGCCTGTCCTGGTTCTTTAAAGACAACCGTCTGTCTCCCAGGCACTTGTGCAGTACTGAAAAAGTTGGTGCTTAGAAATTTCCTCCCCCCCTCCTCCTTCCCACCCTGTCCCTCCGCTGCCTCCGCCAACAAAGAGTGTCGAAATTAGAAGACCTTCCCCGTCAGCCCCAACTTGGAACAGTCCCATTCTCACAACCTACAACCCAGAGAAATCCAGTTCCCACCCGAAGTATTCCTTTGCCTGCCCCATACCCTAATCTGCCTCCACTGAGGTTTGATGTTCGCCCTCACATCTGCCCCAGCCCCAAGGTAGAGTATCCCCCACAGTCTTCTCATACCCCCTCCCGAGCATCACCACCCTCCTTGTGAAGCCCGTGTAGAGCAGAGCCCCCCCCCTCCAAGAAACCCTCATACAAATTTTGAAAGAAACATTGATACAGGCCTTGTGTTTTCAGTTGGTCAGTTGCATCAATGATCCTGCAATGAGCCTGGCAATCATGAAAAGCTTTCCGGGCACAGCCAAGCAAGTAGTCACAATGCACTCAAAATTGGAAACAATCGCAATGCAGAAGAAGTCAAGAAGCACTCACTGTAGTCTCAGAATAAGCAGCGACTCACCGCAAGGGTGACGAAGGATGGGCGAAATCCTTGATCTCCTTCCATGACAGGCTATAATCCCCGGAATGAGTTCGTCATTCCAGGCATCTTTAATGCATGCTCCATGCAAGAGCCCCTTCCAAGCTTCACCACCCTCCTTGTGAAGCCCGTGTAGAGCAGAGCCCCCCCCTCCAAGAAACCCTTATACGAATTTTGAAAGAAACATTGATACAGGCCTTGTGTTTTCAGTTGGTCAGTTGCATCAATGATCCTGCAATGAGCCTGGCAAATTGGCAATCATGAAAAGCTTTCCAGACACAGCCAAGCAAGTAGTCACAATGCACTGAAAATTGGAAACAATTGCAATGCAGAAGAAGTCAAGAAGCACTCAGTGTAGTCTCAGAATAAGCAGCGACTCACCGCAAGGGTGACGAAGGATGGGCGAAATCCCTGATCTCCTTCCATGACAGGCTATGGTCCCCGGAATGAGTTCGTCGTTCCAGGTGTCTTTCATGCATGCTCCATGCAATGGAGAGAGAGGGAGGATATTTTTATTAATAATCAATAAATTAAATACGATTGAAACGACTCTTCCTCCCCTGCAGCTAACCAGCTATGGGTGCCCAACCTCCAGCACCAATGCTGGCTATGGAGGTTGGCGCCGTCCTTCGTTCAACCCCCTGGTCTGAACAACAGCTCCCGTATCACCATCACAAAGGTAAGTCAAGGTAAGCTTCCCACTCTCTCTCTCTCTCTCTCTCTCTCTCTCTCTCTCTCTCTCTCTCTCTCTCTCTCTCTCTCTCTCT